ATATGAATTGAAACAGATTGGGACCTAGAACCCTGACTGAGAATGATCTCTCTAATTTCCAGGCTATTGCCATCGTGACTCGAAGACCCCCAATACTGGCTCTTTTCTCGCCCACAATTTTCCCAATTAAGCTCAAAGAGCAATCCTGAATCCCCGTTTCAACATCCGCTTCAGATAATTCGACCCCTAATTTTTCTTTGTCAGAAAGTTCGAATTTATGAAATTTATCTATGATATCCTGTTCCATAACTGTTGATAATGAATCGCTGCTCGATCGCACCTCGTGAAACCTCTCGCAAGCACTGAGAGCCCCTTCTCCCAGTCGAAGAACACAGGTTGAGATCGGATTTAGATTGATCCATATCGGAAAACGACACCTAAAGTAGCGCTGATATTACTAGAAAGAGAGCAAAATATATGAGGAAGAGAAGAAGATCTAATCAAAGAAAGTTCCACACTTGATGGAAAAAAACCCTAGAAAAGGGACGGGGCTTCCACAGGAAAGTGGAAAGTTTGATCTCAATTAAATTAGTACAATTGAAGTCGAATTAGTACAATTGAAGTCAATTTAGTACAATTGAAGTTAAATTAATACAATTGAAGTGGAATTAGTACAATCGAACTCAAATTAGTACAATAGAAGTCAAATTAGTACAATTGAAGTCAAACTAATACAATTGAAGTCGATTTAGTACAATTGAAGTCAAATTAATACAATTGAAGTCAACTTCGTAAAATTGAAGTCGAATTAGTATAGTACAACATATATTATGTACTATAATATACTATAGTATAGTATGATATAACATATATTATATTATATATGTAATATATAGTATAGTATATATATTATATCATATGATATATATTATATCATATTATATATACGAGTATGAATATGTATATATATTATAATATATAGGATAGTATATATATTATATATTATATCATATTATATATACTAGTATGAATATGTATATATTTTGTACCAAATTATCGGAAAGTGTCTGCCGGCACAATGGTACGAGGTGCGCCCAGAGAAACCGGACTTGCCCATTGACCCGAGTTCGAGTCCTCAATCTGGGAGCCTCTATCATTTTTTATTTTATTTAAAAACTGGATTCCCGGAATCCATTTTATAAATAATTCCATGAGAAACGGATTCCAGAAATCCGTTTTTAGTTAAGTATTAAAAAAAAAATCTTTCTTCTTCCTTACGCGACAGAGAGCTGAAACCAGAGGA